TACAACCCACCTGTGGCCAATGGGGATGCTAAGTCTGTCCAAGCTACTGCCGAGAAGGGAGAAGAGAGTGAGAACAAGGAGAAGGAAAAGAATGTTGCATGAAAAAAAATGCTATAGCAGCTCTTTGCCTCATAATATACTGATGGCTGAATATACTTATACTATTGGGACCAAGCATATTTATCCTGAGAGGGCAAAGCCCACTTAAAGTGCCTTTTATGAATGTTTTTATTAATATTGTATTATCACATTTTCAGATTGAAGCAAAAAGATATCAGCCCATGTTATATAAGGTCTCTATTAGTGTTATAATCCTTTAGAAAGAGGAAAGATTTTTTATTATCAGACGACAATGTATTCTTGCAACATTTTTCTGTCTTTTTGAACAGGAGGATTAATGATAGCTATGAGGGCAGAACTAGTATTCAGATATTAATTGGAAGTATTTATTGAAGTTAACTCAAATGCATTTCAAAGTATTAATAAAAAAGTATTAATGCATTTCCTACAAACACAAAATAGTTATGAGGCAGCTTCTTGGTGTGATTTTCATTCCTGGTTAAAATGTTTATATTTATATACAAAGCACAAAAGCACTTTTAGAATTGCATTATAGAAGAATATAGCAATATTTGTCCAGTGATGTAAGTGTGTAATATCCTGTTTGTTTTTATCCATTTTACCTTGGGAAGGTAATTTTTATTTAATCTCCCTTGAAGGGGGTCTAGAAAAGATTATATTCTTATTTTCACATAGAAAGTGGAGCATTTTATATTTTTCCTAAATGCATCAGTAACACAAGTATTTATTTTACACATATCTAGTTGGGGCTGCATTTTCCTCAGCCAAATTATCTACTAAGCTAATGAATGATAATACCTATCCTGTCTGTCAAAAGGACAGGTTGTTAAGGGAATTTCTCATTTTAATTTTCTGTCTTTTTGAACAGGAGGATTAATGATAGCTATGAGGGCAGAACTAGTATTCAGATATTAATTGGAAGTATTTATTGAAGTTAACTCAAATGCATTTCAAAGTATTAATAAAAAAGTATTAATGCATTTCCTACAAACACAAAATAGTTATGAGGCAGCTTCTTGGTGTGATTTTCATTCCTGGTTAAAATGTTTATATTTATATACAAAGCACAAAAGCACTTTTAGAATTGCATTATAGAAGAATATAGCAATATTTGTCCAGTGATGTAAGTGTGTAATATCCTGTTTGTTTTTATCCATTTTACCTTGGGAAGGTAATTTTTATTTAATCTCCCTTGAAGGGGGTCTAGAAAAGATTATATTCTTATTTTCACATAGAAAGTGGAGCATTTTATATTTTTCCTAAATGCATCAGTACCACAAGTATTTATTTTACACATATCTAGTTGGGGCTGCATTTTCCTCAGCCAAATTATTTACTAAGCCAATGAATGATAATACCTATCCTGTATGTCAAAAGACAGGTTGTTAAGGGAATTTCTCATTTTAAAAAAATATAACTATTCACACAAAATAGAATCTAAACAGACGTCATCATTTAAAGAGAAGTTTTAGGAACCGACTTTTTCTCTCATTTGTTATTGATTCATGACTTCAGAATTAACTCTTCCAATATCAGGAAGAAAAATATTTTTGATTTATGTATTAAATTGTAGACTAATTCTGAGATGAATGGTAGTTATTTTTGGCACTTGAAATAATAATAGTTAAAGTATAAGTACATTCTCCCCAGTTTATTACTTTACAAGTAAAACCGCATACTATTGAAAGTTGTGAAGCAAAATAAATAAAAAAAATTGATGAATGCAGTATTGTTGATATTTGAAGGGAAGTTTGCTGAAGTTCAGACAAAGTGTAATCAAGGTCTTTTTAGCAATCTGTAAATACTCAGAAATTATATGCATGAGGAATATTAAAATATATTTTAAAGTTATTGTGATTATAAGATTTCTTTTTCTTTCATCTCCCTCCTTTTTCTGTACTGATTTTTTTTTATTATTATAAAGAAAGAATGAACTGTATATGTCTGTTTCTAAAATGTTATAGTCAAGTGCTGTATATCACATAATTGCAAAACAAATCTATAAAATACAAAGTAAATACAGGATACACTGGGGATTTTCTTGATTAGTAATTTCCAAAATTAATCACTTTGGTCTCAGATATATTTATCATTAAGACATATAGTGTATTCCCTGTAAGTTATAGAATGAGGTCAGAGTATTACAATATTACAGTATTTTAAGTAATAATTTATAACTGGCTGGTCATTAATCTACTCCAAGATGTCCTGATATTTTAAGGTATGCAAAATTATTCTCCACTTTACAGATTACAAATTCATATGTAGGTGATATTTTTGGCTTATTTTTTCTCTACGTTGCTAGGTGTTGAGAGAGAATATAAGCTCTTGATAATCTTTTTATAGCACTGCACTTCTTTATGTTTTCTTGTTTGACAATATGGCACTCATTCACATGTGAATATGTATGAATGTATGA